TTTTTTTTTTTTTTTTTTTTTTACCGGTGACATAACTCCCTGAGAGTGAGAAACTTTCCGAAGGCAGGTCTCATACGATCGATCGATTCGTTTCAATCGCAATGGCTTGGCTGTGCGGAAGACTGTCGCATTAGTTTTCTACCTTCCCCATTGGGAACCGTAACAATTTGAAGTTAAAACACTTTAAATTGGAATGCAAATCACTGTAGTCACATGTCACGGAGAAGCTTAGACTTCGTCTGGCATGTTTCTTGGCATGGCTAGGATATTTTGAAAGAGACGTAGAGAACTTTCGGAGAACACGGCAGGATTTGCGACGAGTCGCGGTACCAAGGTATAGCACAATGTCTCTGTGAGAGTAAATGGGGCGACGAATATTGTGAGAAACTCACCCTTCCTCGGGCTAGCATCTGCTCAGCAGCGTACACGTATCCTCCGCATCGAGGGCACCCTTCCCCTTCGGGCGCCTTCGCGATGGCTCTCGGTTCCAGAATGGCGTTCGATCCTCTCGCGACGTCCCTAAAAACGTGTCCCTTGTAGAGATCAGATTTTCTCAACCCCTTGGTTTAAGTGTGGATAAGGTCAAGCTGTGTGATTCCCAATTCGCGTGCCCAGCGCCCCGCATTTCCATCGGAAGAATCATTCGTTCCGGATGGAGATTCGAATCGATCGTCTTTCGCAGCCGGTTTCGTTTTTTTTTTTTTTTTTTTTTTTTTTTTTTAAATAGTCGATTTAAATTTGTTTCTTTCTTCTAAAAGTGGTGTTACTTGAAAAAATTTAAGATTTAGACACTAGACAACTTTATATACCTACATACCGACGCAGTGAAGACAGGTATTTTTGACTTCACCAACACGTTAATCAGACAGATTCTGAAATGTTCACATTGCACGGGAATTTGTCCCAGAAATTTGCAATTTCCTTCAACAGCTTCACGTCAAAAATCAACCGGCTATGAAAGTGTCGACTCGTCGTAAGTAAGACACGAGAATTAATTTTGACAGATTTTGTACAAATCTTGTTTCTCTTACACGCGTTTGGTTATAAAACGAAAATCATGGGTGTATTATTGAGGGGCGTTGGAACACTGGGGGTGGGGAACCACCAGGGACAGAAGCAGACAGTACAAGAAAACACCACTGCAAAAACCAGAAAAGTGGGTAGGGGAGTCGACCAGCGAACCGACGAAACCTCGAACCGTCGAATTCATTTGACGAAGGAAATTAATTCAACCAATTCAAGGATGTGGAACCTCAAGTTTCGAGGTTCGACGATAGTCTTCCGTCGTCCGCTGATCGACGCAAGACTTCTACAGGTGAACAACTGATTACCAGAAACCGATGAAAGAATAACAACCCGGCTGTTAGAGTGTTAGGCACATGTTAGTAATCGGTTAGTAATCCCGTTTTCCCTTCGCAACCACGCAAAAGTGGCTTCCGCCGAGCCCCGAGAGGAGAGCCAAGAAGCGGATCGTGTGATAACAAGAAACCAAATAGTAATACAATTTTACTCAGAAAAAAGAAACAAGTGAGGACAGAGCAAGAGGCACAAGAATGAAAAGAAAGAAAGAAAGAAACAGATGGACGAGACAGAGAGAAAGGAAGAGGTAAAAAGAAAAAAAAAAAAAAAGAAAAGAAAACAGGGAACCAAAGTAATTGGGATCGAAAGAGTAGAAGGATAGATATAGAAAGAAGAAAGCTGAAGGGTGGAAACCTAACAAGCGTTTCATCTACGTACAGCACCTCTACAGGTGTGTCTCTGTAAGCCGAGCAGAGTATGTGTGTATCCGTTTGTGTGCACGTGTGTATGTGTGTGTGTATGGAAAACCGCGTCTAAACAGAAGAAGCACCCATAAAGTTAAACGTGTTAGCAAGGGTTACGGAGTTACGTGTCCTCGAAAATAAAAAAAAAAGGTACGAGAGAGGCCGTGCAGGTGTGTGTGTGTGTGTGTGTGTGTGTGCTGCTACTGCCGCCGATCGATATGAACCGAGATGTTTGTCGAATCTTTGTCTGCGACGGCAGAGTCGCATGAACAGAGAAGAGGGAAAAAAAAAGAAAAAGAAATTTTCAAAAAAAAAAAAAAAAAGAAAGAAGAGAGATGTGAGAAGAGAAGAAAGAACGTCGAAGAAGCGGTTGGTTTCTTCTGTGAGGCGGTGAAGAAAGAGAAATGTGAGGCAAAGAAAGAGAGAGTCAAGAGAGAGAAATATTACAAGATAAGAGAAGAGAGAGGCGGAATCTGACTCGGTGCTCACCATTTTTTTCTTTTGTTACTCGCTTAGTTCCCTTTATCACGAGGATTTTCGAGGGCAGGCTCGTGATAAAGCGACAACATATATCGTTCGATCATGGGCCTCCGGTTGGCTCGCACTCGGCGGGGCTGGCGGGGGTAGTGGGGTATCTTTTTTTTTTTCGCTCGACTTTTTCAGTCAGTTGTTTGCTTTTTTTTTTTCAAGTGTTGTTGTACTTTCTTTCTTTGGAGAGAATAAAACAGAGAGAAAGAGAAAGAGAGAGAGAGAGAGAGACAGAGACAGAGACAGACAGACAGAGAAATATCTGGGGAGATAAGGGTGGGAAACAAGGGTTGCTAGAACAGTTAAAAGAAGATTGGACGGCCTGGCTCTTGCGTTTGCACGAGTTTTTTCATTCTTGAACCGTGTTTCCTTGTTCGTTGTTGCATTGTTGTTGCCAGGTTGGAATATTTAGGTTTCTTTTTACATATCTAAATGTAATAGAGCTAAGTAGGTGTGTAGGCATGTACAGTGGGTCAAAAATGTTTTTGACATACTAAGGTAACTCTTCCTTTTCATCTGTACCACAGTAATCCCTTTTCTTTTTTTTTTTTTTTTTAAATGCATACTTCAATCTCTGAGAAATCGTGTTTATTAATTAAACATCTATGGCAAGAACATTTTTGTCCAACCGTCAATGCGTTCGAATGGACACTCGAAAGTCAAGTGTCAATGAAGAACACCAGATTCTTCTGTTTTTTTTTTTTTTCTATTTTTCTTTCCCTTTTTAAGTCTTTTAATGGCACTTATTACAGATGGTACAAATGATTCTATAAACTAGCGTAATGTAGTGTAGTAATATCGCAATAAAAGAAACGAGAAAGAGTATATATATATATATATAGTAGTAGTAGTAGTAGTATTATATCTGTATGTATATATATATATGCATATATATACGACTTGAGAGAAAAAAAAAAAAAAAACGACCGTTCTTGATCCAGTCGTTCACCGTTCTTGATCCAGTCGTTCACACAGAGAAAAAACGAGAGACAACAACGAAAAGAAAGTAAAACGGCTAAAAAAAAAAAAAAAAGAAAGAAAGAAGAAAGAAAGAATTAACAGAAAAAAACGGGGGGGAGGGGGGAGAACGAGAAAAATATGACGGAAACAAAGGGAACGGGTAATTAAAAGAAACGAGCGTGGGAGAGACAGAGAGAGAGAGAGAGAGAGAGAGAAAGAGATAAAGAAAGAAAAATAAAAAGACAGGGAAACGCGACGAAGAGAGAACAGTCGACTAGATTAAAACACAGTTAATTATCAAATTAATTAATATAACGTCGTCGTCGTCGTCGTCGTCGTCTTAGCATCACCATCACCATCATCATCACCATCATCGTTGTCGGTGCCGATGAACGACGAGTTTGAGATTGATGAGTTGGGAACAAAGGGAAACCGGAGAATTCGGGATCCAGGACCACAAGATTAAAAAAAAAAAGAAAAAGAAAAAGTGGGTCTATTGTCTATACAATTAATAGAAATGCCGAGTGAGAATTAAAAAAAAGAAAAAGGAACGATCTAGGTAAAATTCGGGAATTCGGTTGAAACCAGTGGAAGAGATCGGGTTAAAGTGGGCTAAGTTTTTTAATAAAAGGAAGGTAGGGAAGATAGGCAAAATTTTTCAATTTGGATCGCGTAGTTTGACACAGTCTCGCGATGCTGTATACACGTGTTACGCAGACGCATGCTCTGGGTCCTCGGGGTTCTTAGTAGGCTGCCTTTGCTTCTTCCAATTTCGTTTCCAAAAAGAAGAGGATCATGCTGTTGGATCATTGGGCTGTCCATGTTGGTTGAGTCGGTCGTTCTCATACTTTGTGATATTTTTTATCCACGAGTTCTGACTTTCTTTTCTTTTTTCTTTTGGTTAACGGCACTCTATTTGGTGTATGGTTCTCTATTGGATATGGATCTGATCGTACAAACGACTGAAGAGGAGTTTTTTTTTTTTTTTTTTTTTTCTTCCCTTGGTTTGGGAAACGAAGAGTTAGGGGAGTTAGGTTGAGGGTACTGGGACGACGCGGGCAGGTGCACTCACTCGCTACTCTTCAAGTGTTCGCCCTGATCCATGGACAGGGTACCGGCGCCTCCACCGAAGCCGTATCCTTTAGGACCGAACTTGCGTCCGTGGCACACTTTGCAAAATAGCTCGCCCTCGTGCTCAGTGCAGTTTGTCGAGTCGAGCAATTTGCCGCACAGACCTGCAACACGTAAGACTATTTGGCTCTGGCCTACACCGTCATTCCGCTAAGCGGATCTGTCCATTTGAAGACTTAGCGAGTCTTAATGGATCTCTTTCCGTGTCTGATGAAGATCGATGAAAAGATCTGTGATGAAAAAAAAAAAAAAAAGAGAGAGAGAGAGAAGAAAAAAATTCTGCAGCATTCCAAGTTGTAAATCTGACACGACGAATGTAGTGTTAGAAGAGGGAAATATTGAGAGAAATATTCAATGAAACTTGATGGATTGAGTGAAATTGAAAATTAATAATCTTTCTTTCTTTCTTTCTTTTTTTCTTTTTTTCTAAGAAATTATGGGATATTTTAATATTCACGTGAAATAATTTTATTTCAATATTTCGATCCTCGTTAAAATTGGTAACCGAGAACGTAAAATCAATTTTTTAACGTAAATCAAACTCGAGAATTCCCTTACTGGATTAAGTTGACAGTTTATTGGCTTGTAATTGAGCTAATAGAATTAGACACAGGGAATGCTTCACCTACTTTCTTGCCTGGTTGCGTCTTGCTAATTATGGAACTAACAAACCACCCTAGTCGACAGTTAAATATACCAAGATCTTCCGAAATTCATATAAACACGTGTTCGCACTTGTATCTTAAGATTTTAGTATCACATCCAATCAGAATTGTTTTCTTCTTTTTCCTGAAAAAAGAATTGTAGCCTATTGCAAATTCGTGCAATACGCAATTTTTACGAACATAAGAACAGAGATAAAATACTGCGAAATTTTAAAAGTCTGGACAAATAAAACTTCGAAGTCAAATGTCATCATAGATGAGAATGAAGGATGATCAAAGCGTAAGACTCGCGCCAAAAGAAGAAAATCAGAATAAAAGTCAAAAGACCATTGAGATCTTGGAAAACACTTCAAATCCAAACTCATAAAATTCCTGTGAAACGTTACAAACTGGTCATCTCGATTAAACTAGTGTAAACTTAATCTAAATCACTGAAACACTCAGAAATAGACTACTAGCCTCGTGGCCACTAGGATCACAATGGCCTGGTCTCCAAACCTAACTCTAAACGGTTATCTTTATAGATCTATAAAATTTCTGTAAAAAATAACGAAACCTGTCTAGTAATCCTAATATTAAATTTCCTATAAATGCATGAACAATGACGGCCTACCGATCACTAATAGCCATCAAACTGGCTCTTATGACACTAGCCAATAACATCATGATCATAACGACGATCCGTGATCCATGATTTCTTTCATGGGAAAAATGAAAAAAGAAAAAAAAAAAAAAAAGAAAGTGTAATACATTCAGGAACAAATGACAAGTAGTGTCAGGAAATTCCGATGCAGCTTATTTCAGTTGGTATCTAGAACCGCCGAGTGAATATTCAATGGGGGTTCCTATTTCCGAGTAGAATCACGAAGTCCGGATTTTTTCCCGGCGAGTTCGCGCGGGTCGTTGCACCCTCGGCTTGACGTTGGGTGGTTCTATTTGATTTCTGGCTAGCATACAAAACTAATTAAGGCCAAGACAAACCATCCGGGACTGGGATAAAACTTATTTATAGAGGCGGCTAATTTTAAAAACGGCCGGAATGGTGTTTTGCGCAATGGGGTGCCTCGGATCCCGTGATCACTGGCCGACTGATTAATTGATTCGTCCATCGATCAAAGTTTCTACAACTCGTATTGCATTATATATCGATCTACATTTCTTTTGCAGAAGGAAATTTCTATGTCTTTGAGTTTGTAGATTCGAAGACTCTGTGCACTTCGAGCGAGTCGAGTTTGATTTTCTTTCCTGATCATACGTGATCCTTTGAAGGGAAAAGGAAAATATCCACGGCTCACGTGCAGTTTCAATCGAAAATTGATACCCTCGGTTCAGTGAGAAAACAAATTGAAGAAACTGTGTCTGTTATACGAATACTTGCACTCGTATTAACTTATTGTTCAAATAAAAAGGTTTGGGTTAGGTTTTCGAGGAAGGAATTTGAGAATGTTTCGAATGTTTCTGCATCATGATCACGAATGTTTCATACTAAACAGATTTCACGAGCCGAATAATACGTATTGTTACCAATTGCAAGAGGGAAGAAATTTGATGGGTCAAATAATCAATGTGTCACGTTCGTGAATGTTTGAACCAAATATTTACTTAAATATTATAAAAAAATTCAACATGTTCATGAATATTCGAGATTTTATTAACTTAATTGGAAGTTGATTGACGTTCGTAAATGTTTGAAGAGTCATGCTTGTCTAGGTTGAATATTAAATCACAAAGTGAAGACGGGCACGAAGCATGCTCCTGCCTGCCAATTATGCTTGCAATGTTTTCCATGCAACCACTTACCACACTTAAAGCACATCTTGTGCCATTTGAGTCCTCCGGCGACACGTTCTTCTGCGGCGTACACGGATTTGCCGCATTTGGGACACTTGGGGTGCTCTACTGGTTTAAAAGGCATTTTGTCTGTACTGAAAGACAGAGAAAAATCTTCGATCATTATCTCACGTTGACTATCATCCAAAGGTCAGACACAATTTGAGAATAAAAATAAAATTTGCAATCTGTGGAACAACTTCTTAACACCTCGCCGATTTATTTGTTTCACAGTACATTTCAAATCCTTGGAATATTGCCGGAGAATTACTTACTAGAGAATAGTAAATCCGAGCATTTCGTTTGCTAACGACTAAAGTTTTGTGAAAAACTTCTTTCGAAAAAGAAATTTTAAAAGTAACTTTCCACTTGTTAACACGTTTCACGATGCGTAAACGGTGAATAACAATGATAACATCTATAACTCCCGATTACCTAATTCTCCACCAGGAACATAAACAGTTTCTCCACTGCCGATCAACGAGCCTATTTTTACCAAATTTGAACCTCAACTTATATATATATATATATATATATATATATATATAGCGATTCACGAAGTACACGAAAACGAAGAAATTATATTTTCTCTGCGAAACTTATTATACTGCAACATTATCCATTGACACACATACACATACACACACAGAGATAAGCAGCAGAAGCATCAATGAAATTAACCGGAGCTTTTATCAATGGTCAACGGTGACGACGAATTTATCAGAAAGTGGACTGATAAAAGTTGCAATGGCTCGACTTCGTTCTAAGAAGAGATCTCACTGGTAATTCCCTTAAAACTTCATTCAATAATCATTCGCACACTGCATTAGACTTTCAATATTAGAATATGGTAATGGGATTACCGTAAATATTAAGAAGAATGAAACTTCGAGTCATTATTCCTGCATTTGACACAGGGGCCTGACTGAAACATTCAAATAAAATTCTCTACTTCTCGCCTACACGTGGCCTGGCCTGGCCCAAACGATAAACACAACGATTTTCCCCGTGTAAAATAAAATAAAAAGTGACGCGACGATGGAATATCTGCAGGTTGTTAAATGCGCGAGTAAGAAGTGGCTACGCTGTTTGTTTCGAAACAGAGAACAGAGTGGAAGCTTTCGACTGGCGTGACTTTTGGAAGCGGCTCTGGTGTCGAGTTATAGTGGCCACGGTATTAGTAGAAACGACGCTAGAGAGACCACGAGAGACCAGAAAGAGAGACGGAGGATTCTATATCCGTGCAGACGCAAGCCGGATCGCGAGGCCGTATTAGGGAAGGCGCTAGATTCTCCACAACGCGGTCGCCATTACCCCTACCTTCGCTTCGTCCAGCTGGTCCTCCATTAATTGACAAAAATTAATTTAACAAGTCCTTATTCCTATCTTATCCTCGTCTAGAATAACCATTTTCTCATCGTTATTCTCTTTCCACGTACAACTTTAAATTATAGCTAGAACCAACTATAACAGTAGAAGGGTTAACCTATACTTTGTCTTCTTCAACATCTAGGATGATTAATTAGACGAATGGCTTACTTTATCTCTTACGTTTCATTTTTCACAACTGTTGTCTGAGATGACAGAGTTATTTCTTTTTTTTTTTTTTTTTTCGTGACTGAAAATTTGCAAATCTTCTCTGATTACGAAATTACTGGCTGATGGAAGATTGTTTCTTTTTTTTTTTTTTTTTTTAATTTCAAAGTCTTCTCGCCATTTCGATTTCAAATGAAGAAAGCAAATATATATATATTGGAAGAAAGAAACGTTCAACTCTGGCAATACTGAGTTATTATTAAAATCTTCGAAATAATTTCCCATCCCTTTTTTTTTTTTTGGAGAATGAGAAATTTCGCAACAATTTTAGAGCAAGTACTCTATCGATGAGTCGCGGTTGTTTGTACATATCATGTACGTGTGCGTTACATCATAACAGCCGAAGAATGCCTTCTGCCACCCCCGTGTATACTAAATCCGGACGATCTCAAGTTTCATCGCGTTTTACTGAACCCGTCACGCGTTTTAACTTTATGGCTCGCGTAATTCCGCTGCGCTGAGACACGTCTGACTAAATCTAGCTTCTTGCCACCGGGGACAAGCATCCTCGTCAGATTCTAAACTATCGAAACTATCCATCCTTCAAGTCATTTAATTGCGATTCCTTCGAATCTTCAGACTCTTTTCTCACTACTGAATCACTTGGGATTCTTTGATAGAGGGATGATAGAGGGATGAGAACTTTATACTGAGAATTATAACAGGAACGAAACCATACATTATCAGTTCACTTGGATACCGTCAACTGCGACTGTGTTTCGACAGAAAGATAGAAAATCCAAATTGTTAGCTGACTTTGAAGGATGGGATACATCCACGGAGCTAGTGTTCGGCCGAGTTGCACGAGAGAATTAAAGAGTGATCTTTCACCATTGTCTAAAATAACAAAATTACAATTCGAGGAAGGAGCACGATCCGACAGTTCTCACAAGAAAGCAATTGACTAGGACTTCGACTCGCCAATATAGAGGAACATCTAGATGCAAGATTCTCTCACTTTTCAAATTGACAGTCTAGCTAGCTACGAGCTTCGAGTAATCGTTTAGCGATTGAACAAAGATCGAAGAACCAAAAGTTAATGTGAAGGGAGACAGGGAGTTGCAAGGTTGTTTATCAAAAATGAATAGAAGAAGGACAGTTCCGACAATTGCAATCGATATTTAAAAGCAACTACTCTCTGCCTCTCTTTCTCTCTCTAACTTTTGTCTCTGCTCTGTGAAAACAGATTGTCGATGTACGATGATCCCTGGCCAGTTGTGGAAACACACTCACGTTCGCTCGCTGTATACTGTGTACTGTGCTCTACTCACCAGCGGGTGAACGGGTTGTTTCGAAGTGTCACGAGAGAATGGAAATCGGTAAACCTCGGGGGATGAAGGCAGGCGTGCAAAGATGAACGAAAAAAAAACACCGAGAAGCACTCTACACCGCACTAATACTGGATTCGAATGGCTGTTCTCGCGTCGTGCTGGTCCTAGTCATAGCCAGGCCGTTTGCACACGGCACGTGTGCATCGGAACGTCAGTGCTCTTGACGACAACGTCGCGGTGGGCAAGAGGGAGTACAGCCGCAAGTATAGCCGCCTTCCATCTAGCGGGGGTGTTACACTATACGTCGCGGCACGTCGGAAACGGCCACGATTCGTTAACACCGCTGGATCTTATCCTGCTTCTCTCGCTGCTTCCTTCTTCTTCGCGGCAGAAACTTACCTACACCGCGAACATTTGTCTAAATTTACGACTCCGT